AACACTAATAATAATAACAGTTGTTAAACTACTAATCAAAATAATAATAATACTATTAATGAGTAATACATAAGATTGATAATGTTAATAATAATATCATTAATAAAAAATACATACTAATAATAATGATAGTAATAATAACAATAATAATAACAATACTAATAATAATAGTAGTAATAATAATAAGTCGTCCCCAGCCTATTTTTTTTTTTAAAACTATTTTTGAATATACCCCCTGTGGAGGGACACGCCCGACTTCACCCTGGCCCGTGGTGCCCCAGGGATTCCTTCAGGGGGGGCCCAGGCGTCCTCCCGAGCACCCCCCGCGAGGCAGAGGGCGGGAGAGCCCGGAGGCGAGTCGACGAGCCGGATCGGCGGTGGCAGCGAGTCGGATCGGCAGAGGTCGGCAGCCGAGTCTAGCATGCCTAGGAGGAGGAGGAGGAGGAGGAGGAGGAGGAGGAGGAGGAGGAGGACGAGAAGGAGGAGGGGGGGGACGAACGAGAAGTCGGATCGGCGGAAATCGGCAGGCCAGTGTGCCTCCAGTAAGGAATCGGAATCCAGATCGGAATGCGAAGTCGAATCGAATCGGATTCGGAGGCCATCGAAATCGAATCGAATCCAATCGGAGGAATCGAAACGAGCGCTGCAGAGGGGGGAGCTCCAAAACGGAGCGAAAAGCTGGGGGCACCTTTCATTGCACTGGCCTTGCAGACGTGCTGCAGCGGATTTCTGCGTGGATTTTTGCCCGAAGCGGCGAGCGAAAAACGAAGTGAACTTCGCGCGGACTATTTTTGGTCTTCATTCCTGGCCAAAACAAAAACACGCGAAACTCACTGCGAAGTCCGGAACGAAATTCAGGACACTCCGGGCCCACCCTACACGTCGTTCATTTCTAATCGTGCTCATTTCTAATTGTGCTCGCTTCTAATTGTTCCTGGCCCCCTACTGGGATGACCGTGGGGGGTTCTAAGTGGATAGGGGGGCTACAAGTGGACGCCAAGGCGGGTTACATCTGGCCCAAACTGGCTTATAAATGGGTTACAAGTGCCCCGAGTGGCTTAACAAGGTTCACGATCCGGGCTAAGTGGGCTCCGCCCACTTAGCGGAATGATCGAACCCCCCTAAGCTATTCGGGGAACTTGTAACCCACTTATAAACCAGGTTGGGCCAAATATAACCCACCTTAGCATCCACTTGTAACCCCTCTATCCACTTAGAAACCCTCACGGTTACCCCAGTAGTGGCCAGGAAGAGGCTCAGGATAGAACACTTAGCAACGAGAGGATCTTGGCCCGCCTAAAAAAACAAAGACCTCTCGAGGAACGAGAAAGGAGCACTGCGCATCGTTCCCCGCACGAGATCCGCGCTGCGCTGTTGGCGCCCTGAGCCTTTGGGCCGGGGGGGCACCTCTGGCAGCACCCGAGGCTGGGGACCTCCTGGCCGCCTGGCGCATGGGCGCTGCCGGGCGCGGGGAGAGCTCGGGTCGGGCGAAAGGGGGGGATAGCAAAGGGGGGGGTTGAGAATCAGCTCACGTAGCTGATTTTCCCGGCGCCTCCCGGCGCCGGAGGCGGCCATGTATCGAGGAACGGGCCCCTTGGTGAGGCCAGAACCAGCTGCATGCAGCAAATTTCGTAACCCCCCCTTTCCCAAACCCCCCCTTTCGCCCGACCCGAAGAGCGCGCAAGGGGCCCGGACCCCCGACGCCCCCGGACCGGAGAGGCGGCGGGCCTGCCCGGAGGCGGCGGGGCGGCTCCCGGCGCTGTGCTGCCGTGCTGCAGCGGAGGGGCCCTGGGACGGTAGACACAGACGACAGGACCCCCTTTTTTTCCCCGTCTTTTCTGGGTTTGTGCCTTCCCCCCCGCTTCCCATGCCTTCCCGTACTTGCCCGGGAGTCGACGATGAACTGTGTCGATGTGCTTCTTTCCCTCCTGATTCATGCTGCTCGGTTCCTGAGGGGAACGAGAAACATGGCGTGAGCAGAAAGACTCAGAGGTCTTCGCCGGAAAAATCAAGGAGGATGAAGCCCCATTGGGGGGCTGTTGCGCCGGGGTGGGCCTCGGACTAAGCAGGATTAGGCCGGATCAAGCGGGATTAAGCCGGATTCAGCGGGATGGAGCGGGATCGAGCCGGACTTCGGACCAGGGCAGAGTCAGAACCTGACCTCCCAGGGGTTGCATCCGAACCTAGGGGAACGAGAAACATGGCATAAGCATTAAAGTTCGGAGGTCCACGCGGATTTCCCGGATCCGCGCTGGACTCCTGGCGCGCTCCGCGCGCCAGGGAGGGGGGTCCCGCGCCGATCCGAGAAATCCGCGCGGACCTGCGAGTTTTCATGTTCATGTAATTTTTCTCGTTCCCCCAGTCCCTTCCTTATTCTCACATTTTTTTCAGGTTCTGACATACATACTTGGTGGGCCTGTTTTCCACCACCACCACCATAAGTTGGAGGGGGAGGGTGCCCTCCTCCTCCTCCTCCTCTTCGTCCTCCTCCTCTTCGTCCTCCTCCTCGTCCTCCTTCTTCCCCCCTCCAACTTATGGTGGTGGTGGTGGTGGAAAACGCTCCCATCATACAATTGGCTGTTCCTGCCGTGCAGCTCGACAGCGCGGGGCCTCTCTGAGGCCATCTGCGGCCTCTCGGGCAGCCGCCGGCGCCTCTGGGGGGAGGCCCCGAAGGCTAACCCCGGAAGGCCGGAGGCCTCTCCCGAGCCCTCTCTGAGGACCCCCACCCCCTCCTCCTCCTCCTCCTCCTCCTCCTCCTCCTCCTCCTCCTCCTCCTCCTCCTCTGCCTTCGCCCCTCGGCGCGCCGCCCACGGCAGCTCGGCGTCGAACTTTAGGGCGGCGGCAGAGCCTGCTCGCTCCCTGGGGGAGCCTGTGGGCCCCACGGGCTCCTCCAGGGAGGAGGACGGAAAAGGAGGACGGAAAGGGGGACCGTTGAGCGAAAATTGGCAGGAGGACGGAAAAGGAACCAGAGGGAACCAAAAGGGAACCAATGCTTAAAAAAGGTTGAGTAGATCGCCTCGTAACAACCTCCCATGCACGGCTACACAAGTGGGGGGGGGGGGGCTCCTCGAAGCTCTGGCCCGGCAGCACACGCCCTCCACGACGGGTCCAGGGCCACGGCCTCCGCGGCTGGACCCACGCCTCCCGCGCGGCCACGCCTCCCGACGGCCGGCCCTGCTGGGCCCGGGCCCTCGGAGGCCCGCTCGCGGCACGCGGGGCTCCCGGGTGTGCCCGGAACGGTCGGCGGCACGAAGCCCGCACGCACGGAGGGCGGACGTCGAGAGCTCCAGGGCGCCACGCACCAGCAGCAGGGCTCGGGCCGGGCGAAAGGGGGGGATAGCAAAGGGGGGGTTTGAGAATCAGCTCGCGTAGCTGATTTTCCCGGCGCCTCCCGGCGCCGGAGGCGACCATGTATATATCGAGGAATGGGCCCCTCGGTGGGGCCGAAACCAGCTGCATGCAGCAAATTCCGTAACCCCCCCTTTCCCAATCCCCCCCTTTCGTCCGTCCCGAAGGGCGCCAGGGGCGTCGGAGGGCCGGGGGAGCGGCCGGAGCGGGTGGGCGGTCCCTGCCGCCTCGGCGATTAAAAAAAACCTCTCTGCCAAAATTGCTGCGGGGGGAGCGGGCAACGCCACAGGGGTCCTCTCTCCTCCCTCCCCCCTCCTCCCTCAGCCCACAGGATTCTGCAGGCCTCTTCGTCTGCAGCACAAGGCCCGCCATCCTTCGCACAGTGAGCCCTCCCTTGCGAACCCAACCTGCGTCTGCACGGGCCACGTCTGCGCTTGGTGCTCATGATTCGGGCTTTGGGGCCACGTCCAACGCAAGGGAACCACATCTAGGCCCCACCCTATCGCAGTAGTGGAGCCGGTACAGGAAAGCTCGTGGTGGGTGGCATGAGGCGGGAGCAACGAAAGGGAAGGGGGAGGCCCGAGGAACAGGACCCAGACCTCGGACGGCTCCGGCTCTTCTGGCCCCTGGCCCCTGGAGCACTCGACCCCTCCCCCCGGGGGCGACCTCGTCGTCCCGCGTCGTCCCTCTTGACGGACCAGGGACGGCCCCCGGAAGCCGACAGCACTGAAAAGACCTACGGTTAGGACGGGCGTGTCCTCCTACGGGCGCATTTTGGATGATTTGTTTTGTAAGTAGAAAAATGTTCTAATAAATAGTTAAGTGGTAGATACAGTGTCCCCAGACTATTGCTAGACTATTTTCGAATGTTCCTCCTGTAGAGGGACAGGCCCGACTTAGACCTACGGCCACAGGGCGCCGAGTCGCCCAGGAGGCCTGGGGAGGAGCATTATAGGGAGGGAGGGGCACCACGTCACCGAGGGCCGCGTGCCGGCGAAGACCCGAACTGCGAGGAGGCTCGCAAGATCGGGCTCTGGACGGCGCCCGAGGGTGGGAAAGCGCAAAGATGAATGGTGCTTTGCTTTCCCCCCCTCCCTCACCCCATGTGTCTCGATGATCCTCAGAACGTGTGTTAGCCCCGACGTGTGCTTGTCCATCGAGGCCCTTCGATACGACGCAGGCGATGTAATGCTCTACTCGCTGGGCTGAAGGTGGTAACACACACACACACATTGGGCTAACACACGTCCTGAGGATCATCGCTTGTCACTCACCACCACCCCCGACCTCCTGGCAGCCCGATGCAATCGCGCCGTGAGCTTTACAAACGTGCGGCCCTCGCGTTTCTCTGACCTGGCGCCGTTACGCACGACCCGTGACGAAAAACAGGCCCCCTGGGAAAGGGGTAGAGAGCTGCAGGAGCTGCCTACCCGGAGAAATCGAGTCGGCGGAGGTCTCCATCTCCTCCCAGGCATCCTCCTCACCCTCCTGCCAACCTTCGTCGGCGTCCTCCTCCTCCAGCCCATGTGAATAAAATCGAGCTGCGTGCAAGCAGTTGGATGATGTGTTCAAAGGCGCAGTGCGTGCGCGCGAATGTGCAGTCTGGCTCAAACCGTGCTCTGGCGATCCCTCCGTGCGACCAGTCGCTGCCACTAGCAATTCTGAGCAGGAGCCGCGCGAACGCAAGGCGAGACTAACACATGGTCGGTCACAAGACACAAGCCCAGATGCTGCAAGCGTCGGGATGTGTAAGTATACAGATCCGGCGGCAAGGCCAAGGGGCACCTCAAGGCATGGAAGAAGGGCTTCTGCCGCATATTGCCCTTCTCGGCGGGATCTGCTTCTTGCTCTGGAACAGACTTCCTCCCCAACGCGCGCAGTTGTCGCAGCGACAACAACAACCGATAGAGGAAGACTATGCGAGATAAGGGAACGAGTAGCGGTGGTCTCTGAACTGCACGCAAGGCGGCTTCTGAATCAAGAACCAAGAGGATCTCCAATGTGACATGGGTAAAACAAATCATGGCCAGCCGCAGGCAGCACTCGTAACTGGCGCGGGCTTAATCCATTTGCATACTGTTGCGGGCCTGGGCCACCTCCGAATGGAAAGCATGAAAATCAAGCCGGCCAGGCTCCCCCTCGACATACGGTTAGCATCGCACCGCGCGGCACAGTGAATCGTACCTGAACGACGTGCAGCTCGGGAAACCAAAAGGTACCGATACCGCTACTCTCCGGACCTCTCCCAGGGTGCGTTCTGACCACAAGTTCGAGGCGAATACAGTGGTGACGACGAGGGCCTCCGAGGAGCCCCCTAGAGGGGAAAGCGAGGGAAGGGTAGCGGTATGGGCACCTCTTCCTCCTCTGAGCACCATCCCTCTAAGCCGTTCTTCCAACTTCTCCGCCTGTCTCCAATCATTCCTGGCCCCTCTTTTTAAACAAATAAGAGTATGAATGTGAGTCGTAGTAATAATAATGATGGTGGGTATGAGTAGTAATAGTACTAGTGATACTAACAGCAAACATATAATGATGATGATTCTGATTACTGCAAACACCAAAAACAAAACAAACAACAAAACATAGAGCGACGGAGAGCGGCCGTCCCAGCGGCCACACGACGTTGTGAGAGCCACGCGCGGGCCCTGGGCGCCCTGCCAGTCACGCCTGGCCACTCGAGCGGCAAGAGGCCACGAGGCTGGCGGTCAGGGGCGACAGATGGGCGATTCCGGAAACCCTGAACCCAAAAACGTTTTCACTTCTTCGGGGCGCACTTTTTCCTTCCGCCACCTTCCGCCGCCCCTCCGCTGGCTTCCGCCCGCGGTGGCGGCCTCGTTTTACTTCCGCCGACCTTCCGCCGACCTTCCGCCGACCTTCCGCCGCGGAAGGGATGACGACTCCTTCTACTCGCGAAGGCAGGGCCCTTTTTTTGGAACCCCCCGGAGGCTTTCGTTGGTGTGCGGCGAGTTGGGTCCAGCAAGCAGGGCTTTGGGTCGTTCCCCCTTTGTCCGTCTTCCTATGCACGAGAATGTGTTGGCAGTTCAATGCTTCGAATTTGAAGTGCATCTCTCGTGAGTTCGATTCTAAGGATTGGAGTTGCCTTCACGGAGACCCGGACTTTGGAGCGCAGTTTCTCACGGAGAATATTTTGCATGCTGCCGAACGTTATTGTTTTGTCTTTCGCTTTGCTCTGCCGGTGTTCCTGCAGCTCCCTCCCAAAACGAAGAAAAACAACCACAGCCGGAGTCCAGCAAACCGGCCTCTAGGTCCAGCCCTGCCAGCAGGCGGTCAAGCAGACGGCGGACCGCCTCCGTGGCGAGCTGATGCACGGGGGCGCGGGCGGGCGCGGGGCGAAACAGGGAGGAAGGCCCCGGGACAGCCGCAGACCCCTCGGATCGCGAAGGCCTTCAGGATGTGCCCGGGAGCAGGCCCACGTTCTCGACACTGCCAGTGCAGACGAACTGACCAGGGACGCAGACGAGGCGATCGAGCGGCCCAGGGCACGTCCTGGCCACAACACCAGGGCGAGACAGTGGACAGTGCTGAAGGGCGTGGAGAACCACATGGGCGATTTCGGAAACCATGAATCCAAAAACGTTGTCATATCTTGGGGGAGCATGTTTTACTTCCGCCGCCTTCCGCCGAGCTTCCGCCGGCGGAGGCGGCCTCGTTTTCCTTCCGCCGCCCTTCCGCCGCCTTCCGCGGCGGAAGAGATGACAACTCTTTATATCCTCGAAGGCAAGGCCTTGTTTGGAACGCCTCACATGTCGCCGCGCCGCTTGTTTTGAAAGGAGGCCGGCACCGTGGCAGACCCCACAGCAAGCCCGCCGCGTCCGAGGCGGCGTTTGCCCTGGTGGCCGTGGCGCCCTCCCCAAAGGCGGAAGGCTGCGCGTCGGAGCAAGCGGCGCGGCGACACACGCGCGAGAGCACAGGTCTTGACGTCAGCGGCGCTTGGAGGACCAGGAGACTAGACACGCATCGGCCTCTGCCCCCGCTGGCATCTGGGGGCGCGCACGGAGGGATTAGACGAGCGCGTTCCACTACTCACAAAGTAACTATCCGCAAATGGCCTGGATCCGCCGTGGGGGATATACTATAGATTACATCGAAGCAGACAGATGTTTTTCAGGCGCTTGCGAGTAGGAACTTTGCGAGTAGTGGAACGCGCTCGGTGAGGGATGGGTGGAGGGAGGTGAGGCTGGCGGCGGGCACAAGGGGGCAGGGGGAGGAGGGAAGGCTTCTTGGAAGGAGGCCGCTCCTGGGACGGCGGCGGCCCTACAACTGTGTATGTGAGACTGGCGCCTTCTGAGAAACGGGGGTGCTTCGCAGGAGCCTCCCCCCCTCCCACCAGGCCCCCTTTGCGCCTCCTCCTCCTCCTCCTCCTCCTCCTCCTCCCCCTCCTCCTCCTCCTCCTCCTCCTCTTCTTCTTCCTCCTCCTCCTCCTGCTCTTCTTCTTCTTCCTCCTCCTCCTCCGAGCTGGAATTGGCGACACATCGCCGACAGGGCCCCGATAGCCCACCTCGCCCAGGGGCGCGCGCGGGTGGGCCGTCGGAGGCCTATGACCAGTGCGACGGCGATGCATCGCCGATTCCGGCTCGATGTTCCCCTCCCCCCCCCCTGAGCCGGTCCCTCCGAACGTCGCCCCTGAAGGGTAGTCTCCTGGGAATAACAGGGGATATGTCGACCCCTATCCCAGGCTTCGTGGGGGTTCCGAATGGACCAGAAATTTGGGGCCTAACCCTGGGATATACGATGGGGGGGTGTCCATTCTCGATAGGGGTGCGTCCGAATAGCCCCCTTGGGGTGTATCCCAGGGTTTTCCCATTCTTCTGAGCGGCCAGACTTTTCGGGCGAAACTCGGGGATTGGGGGAGAAACATCGCCCGCGAGGGTAGTCTCCTGGGAAGGCGGGAAGGCAAGCGGGGGGCATCTCAGAAGCCCTCCTGCCCCAGACGAAGCCTCCGTGGGCGCCTCTGGGCTGCTCCGAGAACGCCGCCACCCCGGCATCCCGAAGAGTGGCGGAGCCCAGCCGATCAGAGGAGGAACAGGTACCCATACCGCTACCCTTCGGCCGCTTTCCCCTTTTAGCAAAGGGAAATTAGGACACACAAATAAATACACACAAATAAAAATAGTCCCCATATCTTCTCATATTTTCTGGGTTTTGTCTTCCCCCCCACTTCCCATATTTCCAATATTTTCCTGGGAATCGACGATTAATTGTGTCTGTGTGTTTTTTCCCCTCCTGATTTTTGGGCCTCCTGGGAGGCCCTCGTCTCCACCACTGGATTCGCATCGCAACCCTGGCCCAAACGCACCCCGGGAGAAGTCCGGGAGGTAGCGGTATCCGGTATCTTTGGGCGTGGCTTCATGGGGGGGTGACAAATAGGGGGGTCAGAAACGGTCCCCTTTCGTGCCCCTTTCGGGCCCCTCCGGAGCCCCAGGGGGCTCGTTTAGGCACCGTTTGGGTACCTTTTCGGACCACCCTCGCCACCCCCCCATTTATGACCCCCCTATTACGCAACGCCCAATATCTTGGGCGCCCGAGTTATCCGGGGTAACTCGGGTCCGGGGTAACTCGGGCTTGGATTCCCGAAAAACGAACCCGAGTTATCCCTGACCCGAGTTACCCCTGATGATTCGGGGCTCTGGGCGCCCGAGCTATCCGGGGTAGCTCGGGTCCGGGGTAACTCGGGTTTGGATTCCCGAGAAAGGAACCCGAGTTATCCCTGACCCGAGTTACCCCTGATGATTCGGGGCTCTGGGCGCCCGAGTTATCCGGGGTAACTCGGGTCCGGGGTAACTCGGGCTTGGATTCCCGAAAAACGAACCCGAGTTATCCCTGACCCGAGTTACCCCTGATGATTCGGGGCTCTGGGCGCCCGAGTTATCCGGGGTAACTCGGGTCCGGGGTAACTCGGGTCTGGATTCCCGAAAAACGAACCCGAGTTATCCCTGACCCGAGTTACCCCTGATGATTCGGGGCTCTGGGCGCCCGAGCTATCCGGGGTAACTCGGGTCCGGGGTAACTCGGGTTTGGATTCCGAAAAACGAACCCGAGTTATCCCTGACCCGAGTTACCCCTGATGATTCGGGGCTCTGAGTATCGGCACCTTTTTGGCTTCCCCAGCCGAAACTTCTGCCGGCGCCCACACGAGTGCCAGAGGGCTGGAAACACGCTGGCTGGATTCGCCCGCGGAGGTCACACGCTGGACATGGTAGAGAACAAGGCCAACTGCATCCCAAAGCACCGAGAAGCTGGCGGCTCCAGCGGCGACGCTGGCATCCGAGAAGACAGCCAAGACACACAACATCTTGAAACAACAAAAGGCACCGAACACATCGAGCGACAGCGACGCCAACGCCGCCGACCGCGCGCGCGCGAGCGCCTCGAAAGCAGGAACTCCAAGCCCCACGCGAGGCCTCGGCTCGGACACATGGCGAGCACACACGCCACAGCCGCCGCCGCCGCCGTCTTCGCCGTCGTCGCTGTTTGCGTCGCCGTGTTCGTCTCGACGTCGCGTCTCTGTGTACAGTACTCACGGCACAGCCACCGCCGCCGCCGCCGTCTTCGTCGTCGTCGCTGTTCTCGTCGCCGTGTTCGTCCCGACTTTGCGTCTCTGTATAGCACTCATGGCACAGCACAGCCACCGCCGCCGCCGCCGTCTTCGTCGTCGTCGCTGTTCTCGTTGCCGTGCTCGTCTCGACGTCGCGTCTCTGTATAGTACTCATGATATTCAGTGCGGTGCTCTTCGCGCTGCTCTTCTGCGTGGTTCGTGCACTCCGGTGTGGTGTGCTTGGCGCTCTGCTGTCTCGCCGGTTGTTATGCCATGTCGGCACGGCCCATCCATATGCCGAAACAGTACCGCTATTGCAGTGACGTGTCCTGATGAGGAAGCAATAGGGGCGCGTCGTGGTTCGTCCGTCACGCGGTCACGCGCCCAGGGACGGTGTTAAGGCTGTTCTGCTTCCCCTCCTGACTACAATTTGCATTGGATTGCGTACCCATTACAGCGAATCAAATATGACGATTTAGGGTTGCACTGGTTCGTGCTCAATGAATACTGGCCGCTAACACTAGCTTGAGCACTGCGCGAGGAGTTCAGTAAACGATTATTCACAATACTTTTGCGCAACTATTTCCATTGAAAGACAGCCATCAACGATACACCAAGTGTAAGGAAGACCAGGGGATGAAGAATCGAGGGTCGGAAAGCAGTCGTGAGCCAGCCCTGCCTCCTTCACAGGACGAGGACTACAGGCTACACCAGGGGTTTGCTCCTTAATATTCTTCGACCTTTAAGCGAAGCCCTCACTGTTCCCCCCTCGCCCAGAGGAGCAATGAACCTGGCAGAATGAAGGAAGAAAGGAGACCAGCCAACACAAGCAGGGGCAAGACTGACAACAATATGTCTTGAACGATGCGAGTGTGGTGTGGGGTGGCAGGTACATCTTCATTTTTCCGTTGGAGACACTTGCGACAATGTGGCACAGTCAGTGGCGCCACCTTGCGCCTTGACATCACCACCAGCCTCATCTTGCGACGCGTAAAGTCCCCTCCCTGCAGGCCATGCCTGCCTAGTAGCACGAACACCATCAAGAAGCCCACAGACCTCGAGACGGCCGCCGATGTTCCTGCAAGCGGCAAGACAACGAGCACTGAGCCGGAATAGAAGCAAGACGCATGAATCAAGTAGAGGACGCAGAGGTGACCGCGATAATCGTGTGGCCGGTTTCGGAAACCCTGAACCCAAAAATTGTCGTCTCTGGGGGGGCATCCTTTGATTCCGCCAGCCGCCCTCGTTCTGCGTCCGCCGCATTCCGCTGAGGAAGAGATGAGACTTGCCACCTCCTTTACGCCTCGAAAATGTCATATCTACACGGACACCTTCCGACGAATTGTGCGTGTCTTTTCAGAGAGGGCGACGGTGTAGAAAGTCGCTGGCTCTCAGTGGTGATTTAAACACCGTCACCCTCCTCTGAAGCCCAGGAACAATCCATTGGAGGATGTCCGTGCGTTTTTCTGGTGGCGGATCCTTCAATCCCTCCAAAGCGGGGCCCCCTCTGGAGATACCCGTGCATCTCCGCCTCCAAGCGCGCGACCCCCGCGACCGCCGACTGGGAAGACCTAGCCGCGGTGCGCGGTGCGCCTCAGACGCAGAAGCACGACACTCACTACTCGGCAAGGACTGCTGCTAGCACCGGTCGGGCGCGCTCCCCCCCTGTACCCCCTCCTCCTCCTCCTCCTCCGCCTCCTCCTCCGCCTCGTCTCCTTCCTCCTCCTCCGCCGCCTCCTCCTCCTCCTGCCCCCGCCCTTGGAAAACCTGATATTGCCACGAACCCCGACCTGAAAATGGAGGTGGGGATGATTGGTGAGAGCGGCAGGGACAAGGAAGGAGTGGCCTGTTGTGGGCTTGATTAGACGACGGGGAAGAGGTCCGACGAAGAAATATGTATAATCGTGGTTGGTCTCTCGGGGGCTTCTGGGAGACTGTTTTGAGGCCTCTTGGGGGCAGTTGTGGGGCATCATTTGGTCTTTTTGGACGCCTATTGGGGCCTCTTGGGGGCCTCTTGGGCGCTTCTTGGGCTCTCTTGGGGACCTCTTGGGGCCTCCTGGGGCTCTCTTGAGGCAGAAGGCTCGAATTCTCGGTTCGTGGTCCCGCTCTTGGGCCCCTCTTGGGGCCGTCTTGGGGCCCTCTTGGACCGTCTTGGGCGCTTCTTGGGCCGTCTTGGGGCCCTCTTGGGCAGTCTTGGGGCCCTCTTGGGAGCCTCTTGGGCCGTCTTGGGGCAGTCTTGAAGGCTTCTTGGGCCGTCTTGGAGCGTCGGAAAGCCGAAGAGGCGCGAAGTCCAAAATCCTTCAGAAACCGTCGTAAAATTGTTGATTTTCACCTCTTGGGGCTCTCTTGGGCGGCTGATTGGAGGCCTCTTGGGGCGTCTTGGCGGCCTCTTGGGCCGTCTTGGGCCCATTTTGGGCTGTCTTGACCGCTCAGTCGGCGACTCGTGGCCCTCTTGGGTCATCTTGCGGACCCTCTTGGAGCCGCCCGTGCCTCCCAGAAGCGCGTCTGCAGAAATGCGGCCGTCTTCTGCGGACTTCCGCAGGCGTTCCGCGCGTGGCCGGGGCCCTGTCCCTGGGGGTCCCCCCCCAGATCCCCCCAGGGGAGTACACAACGGGAACCCCTCCGCCAGGTCGGGGAAAAGGGCCTCCCCGTGGGAAGAAGAGGTCCGGGGCTCTTGTGCCACCGGGTGCAGTGCGGGGAGCACCGCGCCCTCTGCGGGGGGGGCGCCCACTGCCCATGTGCTTCCACTCTGCGCTCCCTTTAGGTCGGGCATTGGACGAAAAATTAGAAATATCCCCAAAATACCCCAAACATTTTCAAAACTTATTCAATAATGGTCCCCACACTATTCTTTGACTGTTTTGGAATATTCCTCCTGTAGAGGGACAGGCCCGACTTAACGTTCCCTCTCTCCCTCCGCGCGTCCAGCGCCCTCCCAGTCCTGAGGACCACAGTGCGAGGGGGGGGGGCTGCCTCAGGGCGGGAGTCATCGCCATGGAATCCGCGACACACCATGGACTCGTCGGCGATGGGCCTCCGACGGCAAACTCGCGCCTGGAGGGTTCCAAAAAAGGTTTTTGGGGGGAGGGGGTTTTCCAGAGAGCCCCCCAGGGGCCTCGGAATCTGGTCAAAACAGGGGGTGCAAAGCCCCTGGGGGACCGCATCCTGGAAAACCCCCTCTACCAAAACCCCCCTTTGGGACCCTCCGGTCGCGCTGTCCTCGGGCTTCTATACTGACCCGGGCCAGCCCAAACCCGGGGTCCAGCAGGGGTTCAGTAGGATCCCGCGCCCACACCCGGATTAGTGCGCCCCCGGCCCTGCAGGATCCTGCAAGATCTGGCGTCCTGACTGACGCCCGTTTGGACCACCGTCTCTTGAGCTTCCATGTCCTGGGCGGGGTCGGCTATCGGGACCCGATCGGCCCAACGCTTGTGCCACGCTGACGCCCACCGAGTGCCTTGCGCGCGGGGGTGTCCGAATCCCGTTGTCCTACATCGCAGCGCTGAGGAGAAGCGCCTGTGACCAGTTCTTTTAGACAAGCGCGCTCCACTACTCGCAAAGTAACTACTCGCAAATGGCCTGGATTCGCCGCGGGGGAAGTCACGATGAATTACATGAAAAGAAGATGGCAGGTGGGCACTTTGCGAGTAGTGGAACGCGCTCGGTGATCTTTCGCAGCTCGGCCACGACAGACGTTCAGCGTTCTCCTGGGACGAGCTCCCCCGTTTCCGACACGGCGTCAGCCGTCCAATCTTGAATGACAGTCTTGGGCGCGAACTAATGGGGGGGCGATGAATGGGGGGGGGCCAGGAAAGGTGCCCATTTCGGGCCATGAAGGCCCCCTCCTGGGCCCTTCAAAAACCCCTTTGGGGACCTTGGGCCCCTTTCTGCTGTCCTCGCTGCCTCCACATTGATCGCTCACCCCCAACACGAGCCCCCCCAAACAGTCCGCTCCCAGCTGCCTCCAGAAGCGCTTGACCCCACCTCCCTAACGGACTTCGCGCCGCGGGCCGTGCTCTCTGGGCCTCCATGCAGGGGCCCGAGACGGGCCCTGGGTGACGTTCGGCCGAGAACGCCAGCGCCGGCGCCGTCCTGCCGCCGCGTTGGGGTGGACGAACTTGCGGTGCCCGCGTGCCTCTCCCTGAGGAGGAACGTCAAAGGGGGAGGGGGGGGCTGGCCCCAGGGGGGGGGACACATCGGCATGGAATCGGCGAGACATCGCCGAGAGGTCGGCGAGAGGCCCCCGATAGCGAATCCGCGCCTTCCTGGGCGGAGTGGGCCATCGGGCCCCCTATTGGGGATCAATGGGCGATTGGGGGCCGACGCATCCCCCCTTGAGCCTGTCCCCTCCCGACGTTGCCCCTGAACTGCGCATTGGCGTCCACCCTGCGCTCCCTCCCTCCCTCCCTCCGTGCCGCCCCCAGCTCCCTCCCGCCATCCATCCGCAGCCTACGCATCCCGAATGCTTTCCCGCTTACCCAGGCCGCGACCGCCGAAGTCCAGCCCCCGAGCGGCTCGCCACTGGCATCCCCCTGAGCTTTTTGCCACAAGCTCCCCCCATCCCGTAAAACCGAGCGAGCCGGGAACGTAGCTCCTGCCTGCGCGATTGGGGATCGATGCGTCCCCCCCTGGGCCCCCCCCTGGAGAAACCGACAGGCACCGACGCCGCCACTCCGACCTCTCCCGGGTTGTTTACTGGCCAGAATTCCGAAGCGAATGCAGCGCTGGCGTCGGGGTTTTCTCCCGGGAGGCCCAACAAGGCGAAAACGATGGACGCGTATTAGCGGTATGGGTGCTCCTCCTTCCTCCGAGAGCCAATGCCCCCCCCCCCAACGCTGCCCCTGGCCCTTCTGCGCGTGCGCCTCGCGCGCTCAGAGTCCCGGCCGGAGTGGGCCCTCGGGCCTCCCTCGGGGATCCATCGGGCGATCGGGGGCACGCACGCCTGCCCCTTTTGAGCCCCTCCACAATTACTCAATATGAATACTACTCTCCTCCTTCCCCTGATGACGTGCTGGGAGTGTTCGCCCCCCCCCCCGCGTCCTGTTTTCTTACACACAGGATTCCCGGGAATTGGGTTTTCGCCTGCATTTTTCCAA